GCCCCAATTCTGCTGCCTGGGTGATGTTCACCATCTCATCTGGATTATGATGCCAGCTTTCATTCCCTTTGGTTCCTGAGTCCTCCCATTCACTTTCCACATTACTGGCACCATCATGCCTCTAAAAGTCCAAAATGGCCTTGCTATGCCCTACTTGAAGTCTTCTGCTGTGCCCTGATGTCTTGAAGATCTGCCTGCCTCTCAGTCTTACCACATTGTGTGGTGGCCCCTTCTGCAAATCTCTCCTCATTCACATTAAGCTTCTGCCATACAGTGCTCTGATGTTTGCTGAGCATGTCAGCCTTTTCATGCCTGAAATGTGCTTCTCCTCTCTCACTGGAAGGCAAACTTCTGCTCATCCTCCAAAATCAGCCCATGTCACCTTCTCAAAACCTTTCCCCTGCACTCCTTCTCCATATCACACTTTCTGCATGATGAGGATCTGTTTCATGTGTTCACTCTAACTCACATACTGACTAGGGCAGGAGCCCTATATCAGCATATATATATATATGTGTGTATGTGTGTGTGTGTGCATATATATATATACATATATATATATATATAGAGAGAGAGAGAGACTATGTATTACATACACACATACTGACTATATATACACACATATATATGTGTATATATAGATATATAAAATGGGTGTGTGTGTGTGTATATATATATATACACACACACACACATACATATATATATATGTATTTTTTGAAGTAGGGTCTGGCTCTGCTGCCCAGGCTAGAATGCAGTGGCACGATCATGACTCACTGCAGCCTCGACCTCCTGGGCTCAAACGGTCCTCCCACCTCAGGCACCTGGAGTATCTGGGACTACAGGTGTGCATAACCACACCCAGCTAATTTGATTTTTTTTTTTTTTTTTTGGTAGAGGGGCAGTGGGGCAGGTAGTTCTCCCTAAGCTGCCCAAGCTGGTCTCAAACTCCTGGACTCAAGCAATCCTTCCACCTCAGCATCCCAAAGTGCTGAGATTATAGGCATGAGCCACCATTCCCCGCCAATTAAAAAAAGAATTCATTCTATTAATTACTAGCCATGTTGCCCTGGGAAAATTAAGCTTTTTGAGTTTCATTTTTCTACTTCAGGGATAAAAATTCATCTAAGATTTATGAGGAAGATTAGGTGAGATTATGCAAATAAAAGCACTTAGCACTTAATTATTGGGAAGAAAAAGAAGAAGGAAAAGGAGGAAGAGGAGAAAAGAAAAAAGACAAGGAAAAGAAGCAAAGGAAGGGAGGGAAGAGGAAGAAGAACAAGAACAAGCAGCAGCAGCAGTTGCCATCACTGCTGCCCTTTGGTAATAAGGGAGAAGTGACAACTGTCTTCAGTTTTCTTGTTTTGGTTCATACAAGTGACTGAGCCTTTCTACTCTCTCAGCAGCTGTGTATGAGTGTTAGGTTTACAACTATAACAAAAATTACTATATGCTTATGTGGATAAGAAGAGTCCACAGATCCTTTTAACCATCAGATACCAGTATAGTACAATATAGTAAAAGGAGTAGAAGGCAGAATCCCGTGAGTTTTGCCAGCAGGGAATCTAAGCAAAAAGCAGACAGTATGAGTCAATATAAATTGTGTTCTAGAAAAAGCACTGTGACTTGGAGTAAGAAAACTTGGATTTGAGCTTCAGCATTTAAGAAACTGTTCCTCTCAGCAAGTCACTTGTCCTCTCTGGGCCTTGGCTGTCAAGCCTCTGAAGGGGAGTTAATAATCTCATAAACTTTTCGTGAGGATCAAATGAAACAATGTAGGTAACAGCACTTTGTTAACTGAAAACACCAAGCAATAGAAGGTTCAACTGTTGCTATAAGAAATTCACAGTGAGCTTCCGCAGTCAGAGGGAAAGTTTGGAGCTGACAGTGGTAGATAACATCAAAAAGGAATGTGAGTTCTCATCTCAGAAGAGAGGAAACAGGATTTGAGGAGACAACAGAATACTGCTGAAGATTTGCCAGGTGGCAAAGAGGATGCAGTGAGACCTGGACCCATCCCTTGAATGCCCTTCCTGTAGCCATGATGGCATATTTTATACCTGGCATAAAGAGTCATCTTACGGGCTGGGTGCAGTGGCTCATGACTGTAATCCCAGCACTTTGGGAGGCCGAGGCGGGTGGATCACGAGGTCAAGAGATCGAGACCATCCTGGTCAACGTGGTGAAACCCCGCCTCTATTAAAAATACAAAAAATTAGCTGGGCATGGTGGCGTGTGCCTGTAATCCCAGCTACTCAGGAGGCTGAAGCAGGAGAATTGCCTGAACCCAGGAGATGGAGGTTGCGGTGAGCCAAGATCGCGCCATTGCACTCCAGCCTGGGTAACAAGAACGAAACTCCGTCTAAAAAAAAAAAAAAAAAAAAAAAAAAAGAGTCATTTTACATCTTACATGGGATTAAATTCTCAAGTTAGGGCATGAGGGAAAAAAAATAAGTAGTCAAAATCATTCTTAGATAGCCCATAAATCATCTGAAAACTGTGATACATATGGCTTTGTAATACATCCCTTTACAGTAATTTTGATCACATTATAGTTTGAAGCAGCTGTGCAGATGTCTAGGTGTTCAAATCATTCTCCCTTCAGGTAATTATCAAAGCTGTACGGTGAACGGAAGATAGAGAATTCTGAAATGTTTCCACTTGCCTGCAAGGTTTACCCTATTTTGTTTTTATTACTAAATCTTTATAATCTGGTGCCTGTTCATGATACTGGTTAGTTGCTGTTGTGAGGGAGATATAACATAACATATTTGAAAGCATCGATTACAGAGCAATACACAATAAATAACTGCAGTGAGATGAAAAATTGCTTCCCCAAAAGGACTAATGCCTGGAACTTCAAAAAGTGGTTTCCTGTCCTTCCCTCAGTTTGGCATTTGGTGTGGTGGCCCACAGGCCAGCTGTCACTCCTGACCTGGGGCATTGGTCCCATCCCATCCCAAGCACGATGTGCGTGTGTGAGGGGAGGGTGTTAGGTCCTGCAGTCAGAACGTGTGAGGCCATTGAATGGCTTTGGAGTGTTATTTGGCATCTGTCGTGTTTCCTTTATCCCTCCTTTGTTTTGGATATACATTTATTTCAACCAACTTTAATTTTTCTAGGGAAGTATTATTCACATAACAGAAAAAATAAAAAATATGTTTACTGCGGCACTGATGTTGCTGGAATTAATAGAGTGCTCCTTGAAGCAAGACATAATCTGTAGCTTCACATACACACCCCTAGGTGGAGAGAGTGAGCTGGGCACGTGGGGAGGGGTGGGTGGGGCTCAGCCTTCTGGGATCTGAGCTCAAGCAAGCCAACCTCATGGCAGCTTAGCGTATCCCCAACAGCCCTCTCCGCATGACAAGAGTGTTTTTCACATAGTAAACTAAATATATTTGGAAACTACTGCACAAGGTATGAGGATGTTAGAGACCTTGTATTCTTTACGACTGAGGTGGGGATATTTCATGTGGGACATCTGTGAACAAACTGGGACCATGTATCACAGAGAACTAGGCTCCTTCACCTCCCCAGCCTGAAGCCTGTTCTTAAGGTGCTTTAGAATCTCATAGTAAATAAATACACAGTTTTGAGTTAATATATTGGTGTTCTACAGATTTTTTTTAGGCACGAATTGATCCTTCATGTTCAGGAAGACCCGATAATTATATTTCTTGACTCTGGGGATGTCAGTCACTGCTAGGCAGAGGGGCTGAGATGGTGAATAAAAAGATGCTCCAAGCCCCCTTGGAGGTGAGAAGTCTAGTACATCTTCGCCTAACAGATCTATTTACCATGACCGAAATGTCTTATACCTGTACTATTCAATATATGACTACTGAGTACTTGAAATATGGCTAGTGTGATTAAGGAATTGAATTTTTTTTTTTTTTGAGACAGAATCTTGCTCTGTTGCCCAGGCTGGAGTGCAATGGCTTGACCTCGGCTCACTGCAACCTCCGCCTCCCGGGTTCAAGTGATTCTCCTGAATCCCAAGTAGCTGGGATTACAGGCATGCACCACCATGCCAGCTAAATACTGTATTTTTAGTAGAGATGGGGTTTCTCCATGTTGATCAGGCTGGTCTTGAACTCCTGACCTCAGGTGATCTGCCTGCTTTGGCCTCCCCAAGTGCTGGGATTACAGGTGTGAGGCACTGCGCCCTGCCAGGAATTGAATTTTTAATTTAATTTTATTTAAATGAATTTGAGTGTAAGTAGCTGCATATGGATGCTGGCTACTGGACTGAATGGTCCCGTCCTGGTCAGTGCAGCGCAGAAGGATGTTTACCATGAAAGGCTAAGACTTGAAGTCAGAAGTCCTGGATTTGAGCCTTGCCACTGTCCTCAACCAACTACATAATTCTGAAGCTAGTTAAACTTATTTAGCCCACCTTGGCACAGGATAATTACCTCTTGAGGTTACTATGAAGATTAAATTATACATTTGTGGGATAAAGTTCTTTACAACGTACAAAGTACTATAAAATGTTATTTTAATGAGTCTATTAACATTAACTCGATAAACCTACAATGATTTCAATGTCATTTTCTGTTCATTTGCACTTAAACAATTCTTTAATTATAGACAATTTGGGGTATTAGTGAAAGCCCTTGAGCCCAGTTAGTGAGTAATTATTCTTGTTGTCTTTTATAAGATTTGTAGTGGAAACTATTACTCTGTTTATTAATATTATTAGTTGCCTTGTGTTGCTGCTAATAAATATTTGAGTGCAAGTGATGACACAACAAATCTCTTCCTTTCCTCAGGCTAAAGGAGGCATCCATCCTCTTTTAGTTATTTCTCCTGGGGTCTGTGAAAGGAGCAATTAGAGGTGAGATTCTATGCAACTTCGCTGGACTCCACAACTCCAGCTCTGCCTCCACGCCTGAGATTTGTGTATGGATAAAGATAGGACATTGTGTGCAGTCTCCCCTTGGGATCTGCCTGTGCCCCTTGTGGTGACAGGTGGTCATTGCAGGGTGTGGTCTTACCCATCGTGGAAGGGGTAGCCCCATGTATTATTGGCCATGAGGCATTTAGGACCCTTGTTGATTGAAATGGCTGAGATGATAAACGAGTATCCAGCTCCCAAGAATCCAACCACAGCAAATATTGTGGAGGTAAACATCTGGAAGAGAGGAATAAAGATAGTCAAATTCTCCAGGTAGTCCAGAGGATACACTTAGCACACCTAATCCACGTGCTGTTGTTGTACATGGTAACTACAAGAAGTTATGGGGTAGGAGCTAGTCTTTATAGTAGATTAGATTAGACCTGTGGGGTCTTCTAGAATGAATTTTGGTTTCTTCTTTTCCCTTCCATTTCTTTTTAACCTCTTCATTGATGACTGAGTTGTTGGTTCTGTTTTGATACCTTTGAGCCATGGCCTTTTAATCTTGTTAAAGATACACTCTCCTCCCCAGGGCTGATAGATAAAGCCAATCTATTATAGAATCAAAGAACCTTTGGAGTGTCAGTAATCTTAAAAGTTTTGTCGTCAAATTATTCTGTTGAGGCCAGTCACTGTGGTGTCTCATGTGACAGGCAGATTCTACTTATGAGAAAGAGTAAAAGTTTAAAACTCCTCCTCATTGGCCCTCATTATGTTCCTTGAGGCCAAAAAGATCGGGTCTAACCTCTCTTCCATTTGGCAGCAGTCTTTAAACTATCTGAAAATTGCCTTGACATCTCTCACCCCTTCCACACTTGGAGTTTTCTCTTCTTTAGGTTAAGCAATCCAAAAAATTCCATTCTTCTAAATATTTTTCTTTTTCTTTTTTTTTGAGATGGAGTCTCTGTCCACCAGGTGGGAGTGCAGAGTGCAATGGTGCTATCCCAGCTCACTGCAAACTCTGCCTCCTGGGTTCAAGCGATTCTCCTGCTTCAGCCGCCTGAGTAGCTGGGATTACAGGCTCCTGCCACCAGGTCTGGTTAATTTTTGTATTTTTAGTAGAGATGGGGTTTTACCATGTTGGCCAGGCTGGTCTTGAACATCTGGTCTTAAGTGATTCACCCGCCTCGGCCTCCCAAAGTACTGGGATTACAGGCTTGAGCCACTATGCCCTGCCTTCTAAGTATTTTTCTATGATGGAGATTAATTAAGGAAAAACAGATAAGACTGCCATATTTCTTTTTTCAATTATAAAATCAGAATAGAATTATTGACTGCCAAAGGCAGAAGCAATCCTGGAGTCCATCTAGGTTAACTCCTTCTTACAGATGAAAAAAATGTAGACCCAGAGATCTTAAGAACTTTTGCAATATCCATTCTAAACACTGATTAGAAAGTACCATGAAAACATTTAAAATTTTGGAAAAAAAAAGGCTGAAAACTATCATCTCTGTCACTTTGATGACAAAGCACAGGGTTTAAGGTCGGCAGACCCAGACCCAGGCTTATATTTCAGCTTTGGTAGTCTTCTGTGTGTAATGACTTTTCATAATTAATGTGTCCTCAGAGCCTTAGTTTTGTCATCTTAAAATGGACATGATAGAGCCCACCTTAGATGTCTGTTGTAAAAATTAGACATGGTAACCTAAGTTAAATGTCAGCTACTTTCTCTTTCTCTTTCATGTTATTAATAATATTATCATAGTACATATTTGGGGTGGAGGGTGTGAAGTAAAGAGGGCCTGATGATGCCTGGGTGATTGGAATCTATATAATAATGGAGTTCTACTTTAGCTGGTATTCATTTTCATATCATATATCAATGTATTTTGGATGCAACTTTTTAAAATAATTCTTTTTTTTTTTTTTTTGAGATGGAGTTTCGCTGTTGTTACCCAGACTGGAGTGCAATGGCACAATCTCGGCTTACCACAACCTCCACCTTCTGGGTTCAAGTAATTCTCCTGCCTCAGCCTCCCGTGTAGCCGGGACTACAGGCACGCACCACCCTGCCCAGCTAATTTTTGTATTTTTAGTAGAGACGGGGTTTCACCATGTTGACCAGGAGGATGGTCTCGATCTCTTGATCTCGTGATCCACCCGCCTCGGCCCCCCAAAGTGCTGGGATTATAGGCGTGAGCCACCCCGCCCAGCCAAAATAATTCTTTTTAATAGAAAATTTAACTCTTTTGCCAACTCATCTGATTGATGCAACATTTGATACCAAGCTCTAACATCATGTGCTTTGTCTGACTCTCCTTGTAGAACTGACCCTTCCATTCTTCATTTCACAAATTTCTTTTATTATTATTATTTTTTTTGAGATGGAGTTTAGCTCTTGTTGCCCAGGCTGGAGTGCAATGGCATAATCTCAACTCACTGCAACCTCTGTCTCCTGGGTTCAAGTGACTCCCCTGCCTCAGCTTCCCAGGTAGCTGGGATTACAGACATGCACTACCACACCTGGCTATTTTTTGTATTTTTAGTAGAGACAGGGTTTCTCCATGTTGGTCAGGCTGGTCTTGAACTCTTGACCTCCAGTGATCTACTCACCTCGGCCTCCCAAAGTGCTGGGATTACAGGCATGAACCACCATAGCCGGCCAGATTGCACAAACTTCTATCATAGCACAATGCCTCTAATCCATTAATGCATAGCTTTTTACCTTTTTTTTTTTTTTTTTACACAGAGTCTTGCACCACTATAGGGGTGCAATCATGGTTCACTTCAGCCTAGACTTCCTGGGCTCGAGTGATCCTCCCACCTCAGCCTCCCAAGGAACCAGGGCTACAGGCATGTACTACCATGCCCAGTTAATTCAGACCTTTTTGTGGCTGTCTTCTCCAAATAGAGCACAAGTTCCTTGAAGTCACGAACAATAAGTTAGTTGAAGATAGGGCATTGTTCCACACTTAACATAGTTTTACAGTTTTTCTTCTTCTTAGCTTATCAAAGGCACTGGATAATGACTTATTGCATGTTTTCAATGACTAAGGTTTCGTATTACTAATTGTTTAGATTTTTTCCCTTTATTGTTTATGTTTAGGGTATCTAAATCCACTCTCAGCATCAAGAACATTCATGACTTTAACGTAGGTCAGAAGTAAGTGAACATTTTGGTCAATTTCTCATGTTAGAACAGGCAATCTTTTTTCTATAGGATATATGGTTGAATAATTTTGGGAATTGCTGGATTACATAAATAAGTTTCGTTCCTGCTGTACTTCTTTTTTTTTTCTTTATCTTTTTTAAAGATGGGGTTTTACCATCATGGCCAGGCTGGTCTTGAACTCCTGACCTAAGGTGATCCACCCACCTCAGCCTCCCAAAGTGCTAGGATTACAGGCCTGAGCCACTGTGCCCGGCTGCCTGCTGTACTTCTGAGAGTATAGTACTTATGAGACATGAATGTGTGCAACATCTGAGAAGGAAATCTATGTATGCTGGAATATAAGGAAAATCAATCACTCTCACATTATTCCTCAGAAATGAGGGAATTACCTTAGAGTTGAATCCTTATTTCATCTATCAGACAATAAGGTATTTCCTCAAACACTTTATTTTGAACAACCAGTGGAGAAGACATTAGTCAGAAACAACTCAATCATTGTTGGATGACAGAATTGTGTTAAAAATTTTTTTCTTAACACGTATTTATTATTATAAAATGGTTGACCCCACAGTTCCTAGTTGTGGATACTATAGTTAACATGCCTTTTAAAGGGCATTCTAGACAAGCATGGTGGCTCACACCTGTAATCCCAACACTTTGGGAGGCCAATGCGGGCAGATCATGAGGTCAGGAGTTCAAGACCAGCTTGACCAACATGGTGAAACCCCATCTCTATTAAAAATACAAAATTTAGCCGGGCGTGGTGGTGCATGCCTGTAATCTCATCTGGCTGAGGCAGGAGAATCGCTTGAATCTGGGAGGCGGAGGTGGCAGTGAGCTGAGGTCAAGCCATTGCACTCCAGTGTGGGCAACAAAGCAAGACTCTCTCAAAAAAAAAAAAAAAAAAGAGGACATTCTAAAACAAGCACACTTCATGTTTATAATTGTGGAGATCATTAGTATATACCTGTAGGAGGAATGTTTGAACATTGTCTTTGTCTTCTGAGAATTGATATTTGTGACTAAGAGTGAAATTTCCTGACAACATCATGCATAGACACAAAAATGTGGTATTTAAACTTAAATGGAAAAGAAGATGTGCTGTGGGAGCCTTTTGATGGTTTAAAGCATGTCTTTAGTAGTAGGAAAATACATTGATGTAAAAGAAACATGAATATTTATTTACTTTAAAATAAATGGGCCAGGCGCAGTGGCTCAAGCCTATAATCCCAGCACTGTGGGAGGCTGAGGTGGGCAGATCACATGTGCCCAGGAGTTCAAGCCCAGCCTGGGCAACATGGCAAAACCTCATCTCTATAAAAACTACAAAAATTAGCAGGACATGGTAGTCTGTAACTGTAGTCCCAGCTACTCAGGAAGCTGAGGTGGGAGAATTGCTTCAGCATGGGAGGCAGAGGTTGCAGTGAGCTGAAATCACACCACTGTACTCTAGCTTAGGTGACAGAATGAGACTCTGTCTCAAAAAAAATAATAAATGGGAGAAATGTCAGTTCACAATCAATATATTAAAATTATTTCATATTTTATATAACATGTTTTAAAATATGTTTATATTACTGAAAGTTTATATATTATTGTTGGTTAAATAGCTTTTCTGAAGTTTCTTCATGGGAAAATAAGACATGGTTTTATGTTCAGATGTGCTTTATACCTGCAGTTGGGTATACATGGTACTTGCAGTTTTCCATTCTTATTGAATCCTATACTTTTTTTTTCTTTGAGTCCTTGTAAGAAAATGCTTTGTAAAATGCTGCTACAATTTTTTTTTCTTCAGTTTATTTTAAATAGAGATGGGATCTCACTCTGTTGCCCAGGCTGGTCTCAACCTTCTGGTCTCAAGCCATTCTCCTTCCTTGGCCTCCCAAATTACTGGGATTAGAATACTGGGATTACTGAGCCATCACACCTGGCCTACAATTCTTACTGAGAGCTTATATGGCTGTTTTTCTGTTTCTTAGCCAACTCCATGCTCCAACCAAATTTCTGTTCAGTTAGGTATAGCTAGTATAACTCTAGGATTAGAGCAAGTGAAATCTTACCCTTAGGGCAGTTTCTTCTAATGCTACCTACTGCCCTTTCAGAAATAGGTTCTGAGTGGTCTGGA